AAAAGAAATGGCAATAGCATACCACAATCAAATCAAATTTTTGTCCATCTAAAGGATCACCACCTTCTTCTCCCAACGAATCATCTAAAACCGCTACGATTGTGGTGCGAGGAGCAACGCAAAACCACTTGGATGACATTGAACGTGCTATCGATGACGGTGTCAATACTGTTAAAGCCGTCATGCGTGATAATCGGTTGGTTCCGGGCGCTGGTGCTGCAGAAATGGAGTTAGTAAAACGATTATTATCTTTTGGCGAGGTGGGTTGCTAGTAAACTTTAAACGCGGGATAACTCACAAATCTTTTTTTCTAATCTATTTCGTGTTAAATTCTATAGAAAACGCCAGGACTTAATCAGCACTCTATAAAAAAATTCGCCGAAGCATTAGAAGTAATTCCGCGGACACTTGCTGAAGGAGCTGGGTTGGATGCCACCGAGATTCTCTCAAAACTTTACGCGGCTCATCATCAAAGCGACCAAAACAATATTGGCGTTGATGTAGAGAATGAAAAAGATGGAACAGTTGATGCTGTTAAGGCCGGTATTTTTGATTTGCTTGTTGTCAAATCTTGGGCGATTAGATATGCTACAGATGCTGCTTTAACAGTATTACGAGTTGATCAGGTTTGTTATTTCTTTCGTATTTGCATTATTTAAGTAATTCATGCCTCAACTGATAAAAAAATAATTGACCGATGCCTAAAGATTATCATGAGCAAACAAGCTGGAGGACCAAAACCGCCAAAAGGAAACGCTGATTGGGACGAAGATTAGTTAGTATTTCAACTATAGCTATGGTTTTCCGTGTACGTTTAAACGAAAAGCATAAAAGAAAGAAATGCCGATTGGTTATCTTATTCTCGAGTTGTTTTTACTAAATTAAATACAAAATCTTTCTTTTAGATGATGATGCCTTTTCTTAAAAAGGGAGATTGAAATATAGATATAATAAAAATAATAGTAAGGGCAATGTAGAATGATAAAATTACAAATATCTTTGTTTTCTATTTCTTAATTTAAAACAAATAACAAACAAACTTTCGATCCGCGCTAAACCATTAGCTTATGATGCGATTTTTGATATTCTTTAAGGACGAGTTTCTTCAAACACAAACTGATTTTCCTCCAACGCATTATTTAAATCGACTCCCATCGGATCTAACGCATGTTCTGATTCATATAGGCAGTTGTATTCTGGCCTAAACGTAACATCGGGTTGCGGATAATAATTATAATTGTAAGTTTGCTCATGTAAATGCCATTTACCACGTCTACGATTATAGTCCATCTTATTAAACGAAGGATGGAGAGTTCGTGGATTTGAAAGTTCCCCCTCTCCCGCTAAAATCTCCGCATGTATGGTATAAGAACGCATCTCGTTAACTATACATCGCATCCACCCTTGAATTTTTTGTCCTGAGTTCACAGCCAGTGGCTCCTTCAGCAAGAAACGAACTTGTTGCCAGTGTGTTCGTTCGGAAGCTGGGCTGGTGGACATGTTAATCGCAGTTCCATCCTGAATATTGGACGGCGGTGCGAAATGCAGATCAAACCATCCAGCTAATCCATGTATAATGCCAGTATAATTTGCTAACCAATTAAATGGTATTGTAAAGTCCTGCAGTTCTTCTATCGTTATATGGTAAAAATCAACGACAAATCCACCAACGCTTGAAGGCGCAAGCAATGTCCGAGGATCAAATCCACCAACTACCGGCATACCTTGAGACATTAATTCAGGAAAGAATGGAGATTAACAAAAAGTATTGTATAAATTCAAAAAATTCTCCAATAACCACCAACCAAACATTTCGTCCCAAGCATCATTATATAATGTTGATAAATCGATTCCATAAAATGAATTTTGCTCCCAAAAACGCACTTTTCCCATAGTCTCGCTCCACAAAGCAGCATCAGTGAATGGTGCAAGATGGATTGAACCGGTTGAAGGGAAGAGTGTTCCACCCGGTTTGAGATAAGTATTTCTTGCGTAAAGAAAACTCTCCAACTTCATTGTTAAAAAATCTTTTAATATGCAAAAATATCTTAGTTTTGGGAAATCAATACATCATACCATTCTTTCATGAATTAATAAAACTCCAATTGGTTCGGAAATGATCGTATCAACCTTCGGGATTGGAAGATTGGGCTCTTCGATCTTTGCTAGTAAATGATACATGTATTATGCACAATTTATTAACTTGTGAATCAGCTACCAAATAACAAATCCATCATAGTTTACCCTGAATTACTTCTATTTTGTTCTTTAGAAAGGTATTTTTTGGCGAGATATGAGGATTGGTAGGGTTAGATGCGTCGATTATTTTTTTCATTTTCTGGGCCATTAGAGACGCCTCAACCGCATATACTTTACGCGCGCCGGCTTGAGCTGCAAAATAGGACAAAATTCCTGAACCTAAAATCGTTTACATGCATACATAGAACCATGATTATTGATCTCGAACGTTATTCGGTAGGTAAAACGAAAAAAATCATCGAACAAAACCAAAAATTACCAGCTCCCACGTCCAAAACAAGTTTGTTGGCAAAACACATTGGTCCATTTAGCAGAATTGCCGAACGAAAGGTAGAAGTGCGTACGGTGTCTTGTAACATGTTTTGCTGCGTTTTCGTTATTTATTTTTTTAGGTTGTGTGTGTGTATGTATGTGTTTTCGGTCATTGCAACGGACGAACTAGAGTTAGACTGGCTAGGCTTTTTAAGCCTCGCGTTTTTTTATTACACTTTATATGATATAGTAGCAGAGCAGAGAGAGGACACAACAACGACAACGACAACCACCTGATGCTGAAGCATCGCATAATATGAAAAGTAGGCAGGATCACGTCCTTCAGTTGAAGGCACTTTACCATTCTGCTGTTGTTGCTCTATATCATAAACGTTGTTGTTGTTGTCCTGGGGTTCGTTTGTGTCCAACATTCCGACGAAGACAACGACGAATATCAATAATAAAAGATGTTATCGTAGATCATTTTAAACATCATTTTTATATTATTGATCGACTTTTTAACCAACTCTGTAAATGCTATCTGTCAACGTTAAAATAATAATAATATATTACTAATACTACTACTACTACTACTACTACTAATAATAATAATAATAATAATACTAATACTAATAAATAATAATAATAATAATAATAATAATACTGATAATTAAGAAACAATGACTTCACAAACACCAAAGACATTAACGGAAATAAATAACAAGCACTTTAACAATCGTGCCACGACTTATGATGGTGGAATAAGAGTAATTATAGCAGAAAAATGTGCTAAAGCGATATTAGAAGAATTTGACCATGATTCATCTTCTGATAGCGATGACAATGCTAATGAACAAGCCGCGGAAGCATCAGGACAAGAAAATAATAATAGAATTGGCCTTCTTGATGAAGGCAAAACTCAAGTTCTCGATTTTGCGTG